GTTAACTTGCCTTCCAGAAGCAACAGAAAGCCTGCTGCAGGGTTGTAAATTAGACACATTGGGCAGCTGCATCTTGGAAACAACAGGACTGGGAAAAACTTCTGTGCACCCCAACTCTGGCATGCAGTTCAACCAACTCTGAATATGAATGGAAATATTTTACCCCAAATGTGAATAATAAAACAAATAAAATATTAAACTATCTATTTAAGAAGTCGGCAGAATAATGTGAATTTTAGAGGGGGAAAAATCTCATTAAGTGACGACAGAATTCTATTTCTAGTGCACTGCAAGTAGCCTTATAAATATGACTCCAATAAAATAATTAGACTATTTTAAGAGGAGCAACTGATTCTGTCTTGAGGAGAGAAAATATGTGTTACCAATGGAAAATTTTCTCCAGGTTTCCTGACATTTTCAAAGGAATCATAGGAGAACAATTATTTATATGTACATATATCACTTTTTCACAACAAAAGAGCAGGATATATACTAGGCATTGTACAACTTATTGTGGATGTCAACAAAGCACAGATATACCAAATCTTAACCACTGTTTGTTGTATACAGGAATGTAAATAGGAGTGTATACAACAAATAATAAGTAATCCCATGGAAACTCCAAAGTACTGTGTATTATGCAAATCATCTGTATTGTCAAAGCTTTATGAATATTGAAGGCCCACAATGGCAAAGGTGTTTTTCTAGACATGCTGGGGACACAGATAAGTCACACAACTGCCCTTGAAGAGCAGCAAGCCTTGAGGCGGAAAAATGGCTCAGTGGTTAAGAGTTCACACTGCTACTTGAGACTACCCACTTCTGGTTCCCAGTACCCACCCCATTCAGTTTACAAGAGCTTGAAACTCCAGCTCCAGGGGATGTAGTGCTGGATATTGGTCTCCAAGGGTGACTGTTCTCATGCGTATGTACACATATCCACAGAGATGCACGCACATGACTTTAAAAATAAGAAGAGAAGTGAGTCCAAGAAATGTACCAAAGATGTATTAAAAAGCACCCAAACTCCTTCATGGAAAAGGTATAATTTTGGTATACAGTTGTTAAAACAAAAATAAATATGAAAATTATCTTTAATGAAGCCGGCAGAAAGGGTAACATGAAACCATTGGAAAGAATATTAGGAAGCTAGACTAGAACTAGACAGAACATATATATATATATGAACTACCATGCTGCAGAAAGTGCACAGAAAGAAGCTGGCATTTTTTGAGTGCTCAAGTACCATAGGCACAATTGAGAGGTCTGTGACAGTTCCTCAGGTACAACTGGATGGCATGGCCTTGAGATGGTGTGGGTCTATTAAGAAAGTATGTCCTACAGATTTTGACAAAAATCCGTAGATTTGTGGGATTTGTAGAAGAGAGTGAGCAGAACACGGTGGAAGAAGCAATTCCAGAAGATCCTGGGAAGAAAAATATGGCTGAGACTTGCCAGGTTATGAAATATGAAGAGAAACAAAGAGGACAAACTCAAAGATGATCCCATCTAGATAAACCAATATCAGAAGAGATGTCTTTGGGGAATTGGTGACATCATTGATGCTTTTTGGAAGAAGAAAAAAGGCAGTTGGACATGAGACACATGGAATAATTACCATCAAACCTGAAGCTGTAGCTTTGAAAATATTGTGGCGTGAGCAAAAGGAGCTGAAGAAGATGGACTCCTGGGCTGGTGTGGGACAAGGCGAGCTGCTGCGCAGCCTCAGAGGCAGGGAAGTCATACTTCAGAAGGACCTGTGAGGAGTGGTTTGAGTCTGGTGTTCCTACCCTGCACTAAGACCTCATCTTACATCTTACATCACAGAGGTGCATCTGGGTAGGATGAAAATATCCAAATCAGAAAGGCATGAGGAAAATAAAAACTTGAAGAAAAATGAGGTAATGCTTTAAATAAAGCTTCAAGTGTGCAGCTTCAGAATAAAAGACTGCATTCAAAGAAGTCAGCATCGGGATACACTGAAATATGAAAATAGCAAGAAAGAAAATCCACAGATTATTTCAGAATGCAAAGGTTAAAAACAAAGTAGTAGCAGAAACAGAAGAAGGAAAACATGGATGATGATCATTTGCAAGATGACAATTACACAAATTAGAAATCCAGAAAGGAAATGAAGTGAATGATCACGGAATTCATCAGTGAAATTTTCTAGAACTCACATATTAATTTCTACATTGAAAGTCTACCAAGTAGCTAGCCCAAGAAATAGCAAAAGGCATAGTGTTAATATTGTTATTGAAAGGGAATCCAGGATCTGAACTCTGGGTGGGCTAGGAGTGATGGTACACACCAGTAATCCAGCACTAGCAAATCTAAGAATAAGGCTAGACTGGACTACATAGTAAGACCTGTCTAAAATAAATAAATAAATAAATAAATAAATAAATAAATAAATAAATAAGAAAGAAAGAAAGAAAATTAAAAAAAAGAACCAAAGTACACTAATATTCCAACCCTGAAGGCTAGAACACAATGGAACGGAGAGACATTATTTCTTGGGGCTTTTTTGTTTGTGTGGTTTGCTTTTTGATTTTGTTTTTGTTTTTCAAGACAGGGTTTCTCTGTATAACAGTCCTAGCTGTCCGGGAACTCACTTTGCAGACCAGGCTGGTCTCGAACTCACAATAATTCCTCCCTACCTCCCCAGAGCTGGGATTAAAGGTGTGAGCTACCATGCCCAGCTCTGACCTAGGATTCTTATCAGATTAATTATGAGGCAAAAAGAGGGGGGGAAAGACATTCATGCAGGTAGGAGTTAGAAATTTTATTTCCCTGGCATATCCCTCTGACCCACCATTTCATGATGTACTCAGTCAACGGTAGGAATAAACAAACAAAAGAAAGAAGTGTGCAGGGTTCCAAATATGAGAGCAAGCAGAAGACCAAATCATTATCCAGGGGCATTCTGACTGGGACTTCCAGCACCAGTCTAGAGGGGAACAAGACCTGGAAAGAGAACTCTTATACCTCCCACTGGCAATGATTCACTATCTGGGCCAGATCCTGTCACAGTAGTGGTAACTTCGCACTTACTCCTGCTGTCTCTGCTGTGTTCTCTCCCTCCCTCTTCCTCTAATTCTTTTTCGTCTTTTCAGCATTCTGCCAGGTGTTATTATTCCCTAAGTGCCAACATTTCTCATCAGCTGAATTAGAAGCGTAAGTGTTCTACTTCAGTTTTCTGTGTTTAACAAGTGTATTTCTTCGTAACATTACTCACAGATCTCTCTACTCGGTAGCATATTCAAGCCCTTATTTGGCACCCATCCAGTCTCTTCTCTGTTAGCGCACAGAAAAGCACCTCCCAAACTGGCACTAGTAAGCCTGTTTTCCCAAGTGTGTAGTGCTAAGGCAAAGTCCAGTGTCTACAAGAGTTTCCACAGTTGTTGCCAGGTTCTTCCTTGTGCCCACAAGAAGCTTACACAGAAGTAGAAGTTGGCTCGGGTGATCATGCTTTCAACAGCACTGATCTCAAAGTTTAGCTTTTAGCGTTGAGTTCTAAAAATTTCGTTATTATATGTTTAAAATTTTGGACTAATCATTATTTCCCCTTGACTACTTCATCCTACCTTGTCGCGGATGAGATGTCTCTAGCTTTTCACACTCTCAACCCTTTTAATCTCATCACCATTTCCTCTCCGCTAGCTTTCAATATTTTGCTGTATAAAGGATGTGCTGCGGGGTATGGATTTAGCATGGTTTCACTTCCTAGGTGTGTGAACTGTGACTACAAATGAGGCAACATCAGCCTTAGTTGCAGTGTATTACATCAGAGGATGTGTAGTTTGTGCTTAGGAAAAGTTATATCCTCTGAGGTACTCATTGCCAGTGGTTAATGTGCTGGCTTTGGTGAGGGTCTGCTTGTTTTGGCCTTATTTAGAAAAGGTATATAAACATCAAGAATGTTCAGATGAGTATTAGAAAGTAGTTTGTTAAAAGGTTTCTTTTGTAGGTAAATAATAACAAAGAACTATGTGGGGAGGAGCAGGAATAATAATATGTATGCAAGCCACAGCATGTTGTGGATGTATAATATGTAGACTATCACATGGAGAAGCAGAAGCCGAACAAGCGTAGCCTATATCCTGCTTGTATCAATTGCCTTTACATTGACACGACACCCTATTCCCTATTTCAGCAGAGAACATTAGATGTAACTTCTGTATTAAGATAATAAAAAAACAGGGCTGAGGAGATGGCTCGGTGAGTAAATCATGAATACCCCACTTCAGACTCCCAGATGTCCTTAGTCCCAGCACCCCCATATCAAGACAGGACCCAGATGGGGACAGCTTCTGGCAAACTAGCCTGGTGTACATGGGGCCAAACACCAAGAGACCCTGTCCCAAACAAGATGGAAGGTGAGGACTGACACCCAAGGTTGTCCTCTACACTCAGACACACTCATAGATGCGCATGTGCACGCAGACATAAGATAACAAAATTTATTCTCAAAGCTCATCAATAAAGCAGTAAAGGAACAAGACCTGGAAGACAATCTCCTTGAATCATTTCTTGCTTGCTGCTGTTGTGGTTCCTAATATTCCCCGGTTTCATAATTTCTGAGACAGGTTCTTGGCTGAATTGGAAGGGTCTGTCACTCTCCTCCTGCAAAGCAGGCTGGCCTTGGCTGGTGCTCTTTCTTGCAGGGGTGGTTCCTCCCCTCTCTGGTCCAGTTCTAGCCAGCATCATAGCCATGAAGGTGCCTCCTCACGTCTCCCTGCTTTCCTGTCTGTAGCACTGTATCCCCACTACACCATGCATTTGGGTTGTTTGGTGCATCTGTGCGTGCGCGCATGCGCGTGTGTGTGTGTGTGTGCGTGCGTGCGTGCGTGCGTGCGTGCGTGCGTGTGTGTGTGTGTGTGTGTGTGTGTGTGTGTGTGTGATGTGTTCCCTGTCACTTACTTCACTGATTTTTTTTCCCGTGATGTCCTAGTCAGCTTCCTGAGGCAGCATAGGAACATGGGAGCAATGCGAAGGATTGTCCCAAAAGCAGAGAAAAGGAACTGAAAGTGGTAAACGACAAGAAAATCCACACTCCACGGGGAAGTCTTCCTGAAAGCCTGGTGGAGAAGCACAAAAAGGAAGGGGGTTAGAATACCAAGCTCAAGAAAATGTTTAAATTTCCAGGGAACAATCTCAAATTGATCATAAATTTTAATTATATTCTTCTCCACATGATGAAGTAAGTAAAATTGTAGTAATAAAGGCCAGGGAGATACCTAATCAGCAGGAACAAGGGCCTCTGTTCAACTGCAAAGCCCACACTAAAAACAAAACATGTATGGGCACATGCTTGTAATCTCAGCTCTGGGAAGGTACAAACAGAAGGGTCCCTGGCACATGCTGGCCCAGTCTGGGTAGCCTCCTCATTGAGCTCCAGGTTGGGGAAAGTCACTGTCTTAAAACAGGTGTGTGATGCCTGGGGAATGGTGGCACATGAGATTGTTCTCTGGCCTCCACATGTGTGAGCGTACATATGTGCACATCTGTAAACATGAACACACACACACACTTACAATAGTTAATATTGAAAGAGAGACACCATATAATTCATGTGAAATCCAATAGAGCCAAATTTATAGAAGCAGGGATGAGGTTTAAAAAAATGCAATTAAGGTAAACAGAATGAATTCAAAAGATCTATTATGTAGCATGGTAGCTAATAACAATGTGTATTTGGAAACTTCTGAAAGAATAGAATTTAATGTATTCACCATGAAAGTAAAAGCATGTAAGACATTGGATATGATAATGGCTGTATTTAGTCTAATACACACACACACACACACACACACACACAAAGTCTATGTAGCCAATTTTAACTTATGATAGAACTCGAGAGAAAACCATTCATGAGTGAACATATTTGAGCTCTGTGTCACTGAGAATTTCATATATGAGGATGAGTCTTAGAAGCCCAAGTATGACTCATACAATAAAGCACCATTCTCACAAGTAACTTGGGAGCAATCTTGATGGAGAATCTGTATCTATATTCACATTGCTCCCAAATGAATCAAGTCTCATGTTTCACGATCCTTCACAAATCCACACAAAATCAGTCTCCCAGGCTTGCTTCTTTGTATGTCCATGTTTCTTTGTATGAAGTTCAACCCATTTTTCATATGGCCTTAGATCTTTGTGTTTGTTATAGTATCTTTTGTAGAAGTTCTACTTCATAAGAATTTTGTACTGCTCAAAATTTAATATCCTACCTTCAACGCAAAGCAACCTCTTTATATTGTGATAGACATGCCATCTCTGCTGTTGTTGTTGTGTCTTGAGACAGAGTCTCGCTGTATAACTCTGGTTGGCCTGGAAGTCACTTGGCTATGTTGACCAAGATGGATTCCAAATCACAAAGACCTCCCTGCCTGTGCCTCCAAAGTACTAATATTATCATGTTTGCATTGCCATTCCTAGCTGTCTCTAATTCTGTACCACATACATTCATATGAAAATTATTAATGCTGCAATACTCTTGCTTTCATCTTCCTCTTCGTTCCTCCCCCACTCACTACTCCCCTCTCTTTTCTCTTCCCCCTCCTTTTCTCCCTTTCTCTTTCTATCTCTTCTTGTTTGTCCTTCTCCCTTTTTTCTTCCCACATTCCCCTAAAACACCATGTTTACCAAACACTTGCCACACAAATGGATAAACAAACACAACGTAAGAATGAGAACCTAACCAAAGAGCTAGTATCACATAGCGATATATGGAAGACGAGGCAAAATAATTTTCAGTCTAGTTGCAATTTACTATTTGAAGCCATATTTAAAATTAAATAGTGGCTAATTCCACCAGTACAATTCAGTAAAAACTATAGGACATCAATGATATTGAAGCTATGAGTACACTGATTATGAAGAACTATGCTTCGACTCCTATATAATTCCTACAAATGACCTAAAGCCAGGAGAACTTCAGCTCCTAGAAGGAGACAACTGAGTAGTTATACCAATAGAACTGCCAATTCGTATATTAATCTCAAAGACTTAACATTCTAGCGACTGCACATCTGAGCTACTGCATGCTTTGACTGCTATTCTTACTCAACATATTATGTTCAAAGAGGCTCCTTCACCTTCAATCCTATTGCAAACTTTTGCCTATACCACAGCTTCTAAACTACAATGCAGATCGAGTGTCCAACACTGGAACCAACAGTGTTTGGGATTTTAATATGTTAAATTTGGGGGTGTTCACACATAACATGCAAATACATTTCAGAGATAAAACAGAAGTTTAAGTACAAAGTTAATTAGTGTTTCCTAAGTGCCTACATTTGACTATGACCCAATACATGAAGTCAGGTATGGAATTTCCCACTTCGTATCAGTGCCCCCAAATGTTTTGTTTTTGAAATATTTCAGATTTTATATTTGTGAATTGGATAGCGCTTCTTAAAAATTTATGGCTGGGTGGTAGTGGTGCACACTTTTAATACCATCACTTGGGAGGCAAAGGCAGGTGTATCTCTGGGAGTTCGAGGCCAGCCTTGTCTACAGTGCCAGTTTCAAGACAGGATCCAAAGCTACTGAGGAACCCTGTCTTGAAAAACAAAACAAATTTATTTGCATACCACTATAGGAATGAATTTTTCTCTTGCTTCATGTATTTTTACAATTCTCATGAATGGACATCAACACAAACTTTTATGTAGTATATTAATGGCAAGGTCTGAGGAAGGTCTTTATAATGAGTTGATTTATTCTTTAAAAATCCTAAAAATACACTACAGATGCCACCTATGTGGCTGTCTTTGCAAGTTGAGTCAATATGTTATCAGCCTTTTTTTATGGTCTCACCCAGAAATGAGGGCATGGCATAAGTGGCATCCACTAAAGACTTCAATCTGGAGTCAATAACCTGAACCCATTTCTTGGGATTTTCCTGATAACCAGTTAGGATTCATTGAAAATCCCACCATCCTGAAAACAAATCATTATCTTGGTCACAAACATCACAAAAAGAAACTCTACAACAGGTTTCCCTTTCTACAAGCTAAAACATACATATATCATTCATATACATATATGTACATGAATAAGTATATATAATGCATATATATCATTCATATATACATATCACAACAGTAAGTGTATTTAATAGCATTCTAACTAATTGCATGCAAAATACTCCCTAATAGAAAGAGTCCCCCACAAAAAGGAAAAAGGAATGATTTTAATTTGTAATTTTAAGATTATTTTAAAATACATTTTTTTTCTAGCAAACACAATTAACATTGGAAAAAAGTTATCTAAACATTATCTTTATCTCCATTTCCCACTAAGATTGTGCTGAGGAGTAGATTCTACCTTAAGAGGTACTTAGTGCTAATGATAATTTACAGTATCTAATACCTTGAACATGCTAAGTATAAAATAGCTTGAAAGCGTTCTCTCTACTGTGGATACAGTAAATGATGATGGGATCCTAATACTTACATCAGTATCTGCTCTCCTAAGAATTATGCTTTTAAGACTTACTCTTGCCTATAATCATGCATTGTCATTATGCTTTATTTATGCTGCAAACTCCACAGGGAAAATTTGATGGGTACATCAAAATTATTGATTTTTATTTTTTAATTTTTAAATATTTTCTTTTATTATGAGATTATAATACACTTTTAAATAAAAAAATAATATTTTTGTGGGCTGTAGAGATAAGTCAGCAGTTAAGAGAGTGTACAAATCTTACACTGGACCCAAGTTGGGTTTCCATCACCTATAGCTTAGAGCTGCCTGTAACTTCAGCACTAGGGAAGTCCAACACCCTCTTCTGGTTCCCATGAGTGCCTGCATGTACGCGCGTACACACACACACACACACACACACACACACACACACACACAGAGAGAGAGAGAGAGAGATAAGAGACAGGGAGGGGGAGAAATAGTGAACCAAAGGGGGAAAGAATCTGTAAAAGCATGACATCATTCACTGTAGATCAGGAGAACATGCCAAGAAGTGATAATGATATATTGCAGAGAGGCCAAAGCTATTATTTAATACATAAAATCCATGCATCAGTCAAAAATTTGCACATAATCATAATTACTTATTCCTAAAATCATTCATTAACCACATTCTTTGTGTTGTTTATAAAATGCTATCCACAATTGCTATTGTGCAGTGGTTTTTAAGGATTTGAACACATTTCTGATGCTTCAATGTGGGCTTCAGATGAAGGTGGTCATTCTGATCTTCAATGAATGAAAAGTACAATGTAGAAAAGATTAAAGCTACCTCTCAACCTCACAATAGCATCCAAAAACCTAAATGAGCTCCAGGGTAAAGGCTGAATACACCTAAGTCTTATGCCCTCTGGGAACAACCAACATCTTGAGTGTGCAAAGCATTGAGGAATACAATGACTCCTCTCAATTTGGTGCTGGCTGCCTTGATTCGTGAATAGCATCAGTAATTTACTCATTTTTATTTTAGTGCAGTCCATGCACAAATTAAAACTGTGAAAATGACTAAAAATATTTTTAATTAACATGACAATAACTTGAAGTGTAGATCTCCTGAAAGGGTTTTAGAGACAGTCTGTAGATCATAACATCAAGTCAACATTTAAATAAGGTACAGAATATTAGTAGCTAGAAAAAAAGAAAACTCTTCCTCACAAAGGCAAACAGCATTAAATTTTAGTGTATCCACAACAGATATTTAATGGATGTTCATATGAAACTAATCAAATATACACTATTACAAGGGATTTTATTTTTGCCTTTCTTCTCATTTTCTACATTTGTGGAATAGTGTTAATGTTATTGATTGGCCCAATTTCTCTTTAAAATTTTCTTTGAAAAAAAATTCAACTTACACTGGGAAACAAATCCATTATTGTATAACCAAGGGAAAATAAATTTGTAAAACAAAATCTTTACAAAAATTTGAGATTATAATTTTGAAGTTATTAATAACTGAGGAAAATTATATATAGTATAAAGAGGGATTTAATTTTTGATTGAGTCACAATAATTCATTTTTTTAGACTCTTGATGACAAAAACTACAGTTAATGACCAAACAAAAATAATTCTTTAAAGAA